TTCAAAATGTCTATTTGTAAATTAAAACTTTTCTAAAATTTTAAAATAACATAGAGAAATTAACTCTTTACTAAAAGGAGGGACATAAGAAAGGTAAATGAACCAAAAGAAATTTTATGACATAATAAAGTTTAATAAAAGTACATAAAGTTTTTTTTTTCCAAAATAACATAAAGTCCTTTTCATATGCTGTTGTATTTGCTTTAATATAAATCTCATCATATATTGCACATTTAATTTCATATTGATCTTTTTTTATAAATTTTCTTTTTCTTTTTCTTTTTTTGATTTGACATTTGTATAGTAATAATATTTTATGGGTTAATTGAATTTTTGTCCATCCTTTTTCTATTACTTAATCAAGTATATTTTATCATCTCTTTGTCAACATTTTTTTTGTTTTTGTTTTTTCTTTTCTAACTCTTAACCAATAAACTTAATTTGTTTTCAACTTATTTTTAATTTGGTTAGATTTGAAAGGTAGTTACAAGAAGTAGAACCAAATGAAAATCAATTATTGCTAAAATAATCGCACTTTCTTTTAATTTTCAAAATATGGCTCGATTAGAAATGTTATTAAAAAGTAGAACATAAAAGAATAGTGAGTGAACAATATGCTCTAAAGAAAACTAAAAACAAAAAAGCCTAAAATTTTCCATAGAAAAAAATTCAATATATTTAAATTTCAAAAATATTTTTAAAGAAAAGTCAACATAAACATAGTTTAAATGTCAAAATATTAATAACTTCAAAAAACAAAATTGTTAAAAAATAATAAGAATTTTAAATAAATTGTCAATAAATTAAAACTTAACTTTTAAATATAAGAAAAGAAAAACAAAACCATTATATAAATTTTTTTTTTCTACACTCTGTTCTATCCATTTCTTTTTCTATATTTATCCATCTTCTCTTAGAGTCTATTTAAAAAATAAATAATATGGAAGAAGCTAGAAATTAGTGGATGATAAAATGATAATAAAGTAGAATTTATCAAAATTTCCCCTTTTTTAGTGCTACAACCATGACATCTATCAGCTTCATGCATAGGACATATATATCCTTTATCAGCTTTATCTCTTAATTTTAATTTTTTTTTTTTTTCCATTCATATTGAGCCAATCTAATTAAAAGGAGAGGAAAATAATAGGGAAAATTAAAAGAGTGGATTAGAATGGTTAAAATATAGAGTAACAACTAAATTAATTAATGGAAGATGGAAAGAATTCATGATAGGTATTTAATTTTCAAAGTTCATCCGTTGATATTTCCATCGACATATCTATGATTTCATAGGTTCGACGTCGATATGAGAGGTAAATCGACACTTCCATTATAGTACAAGAAAATCGACAAAATATGAAAAATATCAACAAAATGTCACTAATATATATATAATATTAATATTAATTATTTTTAACTAATTTAAAAACATAAAAATGTTTATTTGTTAATTTAAATATTTTTACTATTTTTAAATTTTTCTAATTTTTACAAAAATATCCCTCAAACATCGGCATTTTATCGATATTTCCATCGATATTTTCGTGTAATTGAGACCTCGACATTTTCATTGACATTGACATTTAAAACCTTACATAATACACCTGTAATAAATTATAATGTATTGTTTAAGATATGATATTTAATTAGAAATATAATATCTAATACTCTTTATGAAATAATAATGATAATAATCGTGAGTCAAATCTGGTTTTCTGTTTTTGCTTAATGTCGTAATTGTTATACTTCATCCAAATATTTTTGTTACAAAATTTCTACTATATATTTATAAGGTTTGAATAATTTGTAGTTGTCAAGACAAGCATAACTCAGCGGTAATTGGTTCGATCCTCCATCCCTACATATTATACTAAAAAAAATAGTCTGGAAATTATTTCCCGCCTCAATACGATGGACACCTAGTCTCTATTTCATGAACATCCAAAATATTTGTCATCTATAATCCTTCAACATCCAAAATATATAAATATATAAATATTTTACCTTCTTCAAAATGAAAAGAAAAAAAAAAACATAAGAGTCCAAAATACTCATCCAATAGAACAAATGTGCTTTCCTATGCAGGAGACCCTCCAAAAAAAAAAAAAAAGGCAAAAAGGGGTATTAGATGTTGACAAAAATAATGAGAAGGAAAAGGAATTTAAAAGTTGATAATTATGTCATTTACCACTCAAAAGTATATAAGAATATTCATGCTGCTCATTCAACTTTGGAGGAAAATAAAATGCTTTATATGTGGTTGAAAAGAAAAAATAAATAAAAATGTGCAAAGGGGGCCAAAGTTTTTTTTTTCTTCTTTTTTGCCACAAGGGTTGCATCAAATTAAAAAGTGAACAGCATATATTATAATTATACTATATGATTTCTTTATTTCATTTGACATTTTGTGGATTTGCTCTAATTTTTTAATTTATAGTGTTTCATCTTTATCCCTCTTGCTGGCTCTCACTATTCCCTCAGAGAGAGAGAGAAAGAGATATATTTGGATAACTCAGCCTAATCACTCTAGAAGCATCTAAATGTTACAATTATCTTAAATATAATTAAAAACAAAAACAAAAAAAATTAATGCAATTGTAATTTTGATGATATTACACTAAGGTCATGCTTGTAATATGGACGTTTTTTTTAGAAGGCGAGGAGATTCAATCCTTCATCTTGTACTTACCAAATAATGATAGATAAATTATGTCAAGTTTGAGAGTGGAAATGGAAAAAAAATGAAACTCACTTAAAATCATATTATAATAGTAACATCGAAGTATTTGAAAAAAAGAAATTAAAGATATCTATAGAGTACTTTTGGACCAAAAGTTTCTAATAGGAGTATTTCAAAAGCACCGATATAGAATGGCCAATTTGAACATAACTCGTATTAAAAATGAAATATAGTTCAACTTGTTAAGTCATATATCTACAATCAAAATATTAGAGGTTTAAATTCCTATAAAAAAACGCGTTCTACACGGTCAAAAGTTTTTCTTTTTTACTTATTTCCAAAGTATTCCCGGACATACTTTAAGAAATTTTAAGTTTCAAATATTTGTAATGATATTTAAGGACGAAATGAGTCGTAAAATAGATGGATCCTGAAAACTAGTTCCCAATTTGGATAAGAGACGAGATTGAGAAATTCTAGTCGTCAGCCGCCTTGGAAATGATGGTAGAATTGGTGATTTTGAAAGAAGAGATTTAAGTAGAATTTAGTTTTCAAAGTCACGCTCCAAGTGATACCTTAAGAATCAATTTTCTAATTTGCCAAATATGATTCACGAAAGGATAACGATTTTGACAATGACAAAAGTGATTTTAACCATGTCCAAACACAACTTAATTTTAATCAACTTAATAGGTAAATTCCCTTTTTTTTTAATTAATCGTTATCAGACAAACCTTTAACTTTTATTTTTGATAGCGATTTAACCCTGACTCGATCGACTCAACTCAACCCCACTCGCCCTTTTTTTGAGAGGGGAGGTATATGTCAATGAGACAAATAAATGTGGAGGAAATCAGAACGCAGCTTTGGGCTTTTTAAAGATGTCTCAAAATAAATTAAAAAAAAAAAAAGATTCACAACAATTAAAAGATGCTTCATAAATAGGTAAAGTGAGCTGCCCTTGCCGATGCTACTTTACTGTGCCACAGTTGCCACTTTGGGTTGCTGAATCAAAAATAAATAAATAAAAAGCCTATTTCCGTCCTAATCTTTAATAATTGCTCCATTTTCATCCATAAAATTTCATATTTTTTTTATTTTAATCCTTCAGCCTTCTTCTAGCTTAACTCAACTTTCCAATATTGTAGTTTAAATCTTTAAGATAAGTATGATTTAGAATTTTAAAACAGAAATCTGAAAATAATATAAACTCCATATTTTTAATATTTTTGGATATGTAGTTTTAATTTGAAAATTTATTCAAAATGTTGAATAATATATTTGTAAATTATTGATGGTTAACCACTAATATTCAATTTAAAATATTATTAATTTATTTATAGATTTTTAAAACAATTATTTTACAATATTATATAATATATATTTTACCTATTTTAATTTTAACGAAATGAGTTTTTTTCAAAAAAAAGGAAAAAAAATGTTTATAATATGAAATAGTACATTTATAAAAAAAATTATTCTTTTTAATATAATTATACATTTTAAAATTTCAAATTCAAAATCTAAAAATAAAAACATAAAAAATATTGTTTTCAGTTTGATTCCAAAAAAAAAAATTTAAAAACATAAATCTTCATACGTTTGATTCAATGAATTTGAAAACATGAAATTACCTACAAAATAGGCCCTAAATTTTGCATACAAAACTAGGTTAAATTACACATAACTCTTAAATTGTGTTTTTTGTAATTAGAAAAAAAAAATCTAATAGGTAGGTTGTGTATATTTGATTCATATACTTAAGTTTATATTTAATAGATTTCTAAATTTTCAATCTTTGTCTTATAAATCTTTAATAGATTTTTAAATTTTCAATCTTTGTCTGAAAAATCTCTATCATGAACTCTATTAGTTTAATCATAATTTTAAATACATGTTGAATAATTTCAAATGAATTCAAGTATACACAAGCATAATCATTAAGCTAATATTTCAATACATGAACTTGATATCACTTAAAAGTTGATATGTCTAAGAGCGTTCTTACAGTCTAATCGTAACACTGCATCCATTGTACATGACTTCAAATACTTATTCATCTATCGCAACATTTACTAACCAAATGAATGAACAAAAGATTTGTTATCGTTAAATTTCAGCTTATAAAAAATCATTAAAAAATTACTTTTTTTTTTTTTGAAAAAATGCAAATTTGTATTGGATGTACAAATTAAACAAATTAATGGTGGCTAAAAAATGCATGCAATAGCATGTAGCTCATAATGCTAATCAAGTGGGATTCAAACTCAGCTCCAACTAAGTGATTTTATCAGACTAGGTCAACTTGCCCATATTGCCTTCACAAACATACATACATACATATATAAATTATGAATATAAATATACACATACATCTATAAATAAAATATAATATATACTATATTATATAATATTTGGAATTTGAAAGTGCTTCATGAGTCAGCAAGTTTGGCCACATCACTTCCTGACATGGCCTCTAGTATGCAACTATCATATCACCATCTATTTAACAAAACCAAAACCACCACCAAAAAGTAAAGTGCAATTAAATCAAATCACCCTTCAAAAAAATATCTCCTAAAACATTCTTCAAACCCATCATCAGTCTCTTTCTCTAGATTTTTCACCCAAAAAAAAAATCACAACCATTAGTTTTCTGCTGGCTGCTGCCCTCAAACCAGCAGTTTTTTATGCAGTCTGCATCATCAAATGAGCAACATCCTAGACTAGACTAGACATGGTAATGTTTGAGGCTTAGCTATCTGTGTCGTGTTCGGGACAGATTTCGCGGTTCGCAATGTTGTTTTAGTGTGTAATAGATCTAAACTTATGGTTGGAAAAAGTGGGTTTAAGTTTCAAACAGGGGAAGTGTTTCAGCACACAACAGGAAATCTAAGGACAAAATTCAAGTCTTTCCATTTCACAATGGCACACATGTTGTTGATGATCAAGGACAGATTTATGCACTCTTTGATCTTCATAAACACAACATCACAGATTGAAGAGGAGAAAAAAGTATTGACATTTAAGAGTCTAAATGAAAACCTTATTGGACTTGGCGTTTTCTTTTATCGACCGAACGTTAACACGAACATCCATCCGCCTCATCCATAAATTTGATGTCTAGAGGATTCAAATTGAAACATGGACTTGTGAGGTTTGGAGTAAGCTCCATAATACACGTCATTCAGCTCTCGATCTTGCTCGGTTTTTGTTCCATTTGCAGCAATCCCAGATGGGAACGACACAAGACGATCGCCATAGTTCGGTCCTAAACCGAGCAGCCCCCCATCACTCGATCGGTTCCAATCAAGCAACAGCTTTTGATAGCAGTGGGACTTCTGCAGTGAAGGGAGTTGCTTGGAAGGCTGATCTAAAACTATGGCGGACTCAGTAAGATTCACAGTTGTGATGTCATGGATGCTTGGCCTTCTCTTATCCTTCCCTCCTGAGAGCTGCCTCATGAAGTACTTTTGGGCATGGCTTGCCACTTGAGTAGGAGTTTTGGAGTTTACAAAGTTTCTTGAGATGTTTCTCCAATCCCCTTTTCCATATTTCATAAGTCCCCTCAGAAATTGCCTATAAATTTAAACAAAACCACAACAGAACAGATTCACAAACCGAGACAAGGACCAGCAAAATCCAAGTATAATGTTCATGCTCAAGGCAAACAAACCCATCAAAAAACTGAATCCAAGCCATCAAGAATCATTGCAGAAAAACAAAACAAGAAAGTCCCCAAATGGAAAACTTACTTGTGTTCTTCCTCAGTCCATGGAACCCCTTTCTTCCTTTCTTGATCAGAGCCCCTACCAACAGAGGACTTCCTTCTACACGAATCGAAGTTCCGATCATCAACGAACTCAAATGAGAAAGAAGAGGCGAAATCATAACCTGCGATTGGGAATCTCCCAGCTTCTATTTCGGAGACATCTTCTTCCAGCTCCCTGTATTGCTTAATCACATCTCCCACAGATTTTCCAGGAATCATGGCGGCCACTTTGAGCCATCGGTCAGGGGTTTCCTTATCATATATAGCGAGGGCGCTCTCGAACCTCTTGTTCTCTTCCTTAGTCCATTTCGTGGATGGATTATCGAGCACGAACCAGGCAGAGCTCGACAGATGAGAGGATGGGTACAGAGTTTCCATTGCTGTAAGAAGCTAATTAGTGAAGGGTGTGGATCGGGAGCTCATTTATAAGTCCATTTCGAAAAGGGGGTTTCGATTTTGAAGTCAAAAGAAAGGAGACGGAGGCCAAAGGGCGAGACGAGAGACAATGGGGCTTTTTGGGTGGGTTTTCTTTTGTTTTGTTCAAAAGGGGGCGTTTAAATCGGAATCGTTACGAGGGAATCAAGAATCTCCTTTCTTTCACAAATGGGTTGAGAATCTTAACAAAAGGAGAAAGAGAGAGACCGACCCACTTTTCAGAATCGAAAAGAATCCCCTCGCAGAGCACAGAGATGGAAACCCACCAAGGAAATAGTGAAATGAAAGAGGGAATATATGAGAAATGCAGCAGCCGAAAGAGGGCAAGAGGGTGAATCTGAAAAGGGGATGTTGAAATAATTGGTTTGGGGGTTCTTGTGAGGCCAAGTTGGAGCCGAAAGGCGAGGGCGGGAAGTGGAAGAAGAAGAAAATTACTGTGTCTGTCTGTGGTGTTCAATGGAAACGAAGAAGACGGGTTCTTCTCTGTGCTGTGGGTGAAGGCCGACTTCTTGGGAATCGATGCGACTCCCAATTTTGTGTGTAGTAATAATAATATGTTTTAATGGTTATCTATCTTTGTCATTCCATTTCTCGCTACTGCCCAAACGATGGAAGTTTCAATTTTATAGAAATATGGATAAAATGTTGACATCCATAAATATTTACGTAAAAGTTAGAAAAATTAAAAAATCTTAAAAGAATATTTAAATTAACAACTAAATATTTTCTTATTTTTAAATTAATTAAAAATAATTAATATTAATATTATATATAAGTGATTTTGTTGATATTTTTCATATTTTGTCGATTTTCTTGTACTATGATGGAAATATCGATTCACTCATTGTCGATATCGAATCCATGAAAATATGGATACATTGATGGAAATGTCCACGTGTCGATGGATATTTAGAACCATGTGTTTAGTTGACAATTTTGAAAACAAATTTATTTACAAAAACGGTTTTTGAATTCTGTGATTCAAGTGTAAGAATTCTAAAACAATGTTTTTATGTTTTCAATATCTTCACATTTGAATTTGAAATTATAAAAGGTAGAATTACATCAAAGGAAAAAGATAAAAATTTTGGTAAATATATTATTTCATGTTATAAACTTTTTTTTAAATTAAAATATATATAATATATTATACATTATATAATATTGTAAAATAATAATTCTACAAAAATTTATAGGAAAATTGCAGTGGATAGCAAAAATCTTTTATGTATTTCAAAATATGTCACATGTTTTCTAAAATTTTGAAATATAGCACAAAATTTCACTTATATTAGTAATACATCAAATACTCATATCATTAGTATATTAGTAGTATATCAGTTATATATCACGTACCTATTATACTGATACTCATATCAGTAGTATATTAGATGTATAACACATACATATTACAAATATATCAAACATTCATATCAATAGTATATCAAATGTATATCATATACATATATTAGCAGTTATATATATTACAAATGTATTACAGATGTATATATCATTTGGATAAAGTTGTTATTTTAAAATTCGACCTCCGTTTTTTTTAAGTTGTTATATTTGAAAAAAAAAACCTTAATGTAGTTGCTATTTTACTAATTTTAATAAATATTTTTTTACCATATCTACAATTGCCCAAAATTTATAACATGTATGTTAAAAATTTAATTAATATTATTTTAGCTTTAACTAAATGTAACAACCACACATATATATATATTTAAATTATTATTTTTATTGAGTTGATTTAAAAAATAAAAAGAAAGAGTTTTATTAAATGTTTATCTTTTTATATCCTTTTTAAATAAGGATCAGTATTCAAAATGTCGAGGTTCCGATTTTACTGACATGTCGATGTCGATGGATATTTCGGGAAAAATAATGGAAATTGTGGAAATTGATGGAAAATTTTTGAATTAGCAACTAAAACTTTGAATTGTAGCTTAATTAGCTTATAATTGATCACCTATAACCATTAAATGTAAGAATATGACCATTTTACTTATGAAAATGTCGATGGAAATATCGAAAAAAGATTTTTTCCTTTAATGAAGATTGATGAAAATTATTTAAATATGTAAAGTAAACTTTAATTGTAAACTTTTGACTACTCCTTTTCATAATAAGATTCATTTGGAAATGAGATAATTACCGACTTTGTTTCCAAACACATTTTTAAATTCTAATTAACTCGTATATGTTTACTTTTTACCTACTTCTCTTTTCAAATTTGAATTTACACATTTTCTAAACACATCTTCAAATCAATCATCAATTCAACTTTCCAATCAAATTTACACAATTTCTAAACACCTCAACCTCGTGATTGTGACATCCAAATTATTTACCAATGTGATCACAACCTCTTGGTTGGAGATATATGTCAATTACCGCTGAGCTACGCTCGCTTTGACTTGTATGTGTAGATTGATAAAATAATTATGAGAGATCAAACGTATTTATAAACTACAAAGTCTAAATTGTTGCATAATAGAAAAGTGATACTTAATTTTGATGAGATTTGTGACAATAGGAACCAAATTGCTATAAATTTTAAATAACAAAATTAAATTGTTACTCACTAAAGTTCATGAACTAGTTATTTGTTACACAAATTAGGTCTTTGAACCATTTGAGAAAAGTGTCTCAAGGCCCTTCTAATCTTGTAATAAAAACTCTTATTTTTTTTAAAATAGTAAATATGAATGTAGAGGTTTGAACCTCCAACCCAATGAGCAACATGCCTTTATGATGTATTGGCAGTCAAATTATATTTAAAATTCAATTTTTTCTGAATATATATACATATTTGAAATTAAATTGTCCCTTTTGTGAACTAATTAAAGGCACATTAACAAGAACTAAAATACTTTGCTCTTGGTATTTAAATATTAAAATACATTTTGAGAGTTTAATACGAGATTTTTTTTTTTTGACGGAAGTTTAATACGAAAATTAAATCAAATATAATCTCTCGTATTTCCAGATATATTTAAATATATAGAGAATGGTTTAAACTTTAAACATTACTTTTACCGTACCCAATAAATAAATAAAGAAAAAAATTTACAGTTTGCCATAGTTATATTACATATTTTAATATTGATGAAGAATTAAACAACAAGCGCCTGTAGCTCAGTGGATAGAGCGTCTGTTTCCTAAGCAGAAAGTTGTAGGTTCGACCCCTACCTGGCGCGTATTCGTGAATTAATTTCGTTTTTTCTTTTTACCATATTTAGTGGTGATTTATATTATTAATGTTCCTTTTTCCGTACATTTTCATTATGGTGTTCAAATTAATTCAATTTATGATTAATTTAAAATATATCTCATTTATTTAATGATAAATTTATGTTAACTATATTTCATTTAATATATATTTTTTCTGGTTTTTCAATATTCTACCAATTTCAGAAAATAATTTATCAAGTTATAATATTACAAATTTTCAGGATATACAAATTAATATTGAGTTGCTAATTTAATTCAATATTTGAGATTGAAAAAGATCCTGACCTTAAATAACTAACATTTTCACTGTGTTTTAGAAAATTTTTTAGGGATTAACCTCAACTAGTTTATCCTAATATATTTCATGATTATTGAATCGAGTTGAGGTGAATAAATTATCTAGATGGGGTTATTTTGAGTCGGATAAATTTACCACCCAAATAATTGATAATTATCTAGATCTCCAAAATCAACGATTTCCAACCTACAAATAGGGCCAATCATAAACGAGATTGATAATTTTTATTTTAGGGATCGGAACATTGGTCTCTCCATAACCTCTGAAATTAAAAGAATAATAATTAGCTATTCACGGGTAAGTAGAAATTCTTCTAAAAAATATATTAAAAAAAAGGAAAAAAAAATAAAACTAGTAAGGAGGAATATTCCTCTCAAGAATTACTAAAAATCCAATTTTTTTAATACAACAGGATGGAGATTCGAACTTTAAACATCACGAGTGTGGATACATGTACCTTACCTCCCTGAAAAGTCCTATTATAATGGTTGGATCATTCCCCCAACAATTATTAAAAAGTTCATGTAACTGCATGAAAATTATGAAAATATATATTTTCTATATTTTAAAAATCACAAAAATGTATCATTTCACGTTTTAACCAAAACTTTCTACAGCCTAATAAAAAAATCTATATTTTATTGGAGGAAATTCCTCGTGGCCAATAATTAACATCAACCATGGCTAAATACCAACGCAACCATTGTTTTTGAAGTCCATTCATAACAAATCAAAGTTGATTTATATTTTCCAGAGAAACAAACAGAAAATACAGCCTCTCTCAAAGAACAAACAGAAAAGAGCTGTTTCCTACTCAAACCCTGTTAGATGCTGCTCTGCTGCAAATTCAATTGCAGCTTCAATTCTGTTGATGCAAGATTTGTAAAGAAATCCCAGATAGTCAATAATGCTCTCTTCACAAACACCTTCCAAAGGATATATCTCAAACTTCCATTCAATCAATGTTGAATCATCTCCATAATCCACAAGCTTTAAACTGTTGATTGACCCATCTAATCCCACATTGCTTGCTTCCATTTTGTAACTGTAACAATGAGCTGATGAGTCCATGGAGAGCAGCCTCTCTTTGATCCATGACCTTTCTCCATCTTTCTGTGGGAACATGAAGCCCGACACGACCCGAACGTAGCCTGGGAGGCCTTCGTTTCCAGCTATGTCGGTGCACCTCTCGACCATTGGCATCCACTCCGGTAGCCTTTTGGATTGAGTGACCAATGGCCATACTTTGACCATGGGAGCATCAACTAAACCTCCTACTGATCCTTGCCACTTCCCATTCTTTCCATGAGATGCCTGCAACAAATACTTGCAAAATACATCAAATTTCACTCCCTTTTTGTGGAATATAAGGGAAAACTAAAACGAATAATCATGCATGGAAGTTTCGGGGAGATAATAAACAGAATGAAGTTTTCAGCTCACCATGCTCATGCCAATGCCTGTACTCCAAATTATCTCAGATAATAAACCAATCATAAAGAAACATGTTAGAGATAGTAAAATTTCTTGTATGAATCTTAGGAAGAATAAAGCTAAAGTTTGACATGTTACATAATGAGAAAGGCTGGAGCTTTGTAGGAGATAACTCCAAGGTTACCTTCTTTGAGATTCACAATACTGTTGTACTTGCAGAAAGAGCCAAAAAAAGAAAGTGTTATTCTATCAAGTTTACATTCCCTGAGGGATATGGCAGCAAAAATATCACCATGCTCCATTATTTCTGGCTGTGATGATCATTTATCTTATTCTAGATGTGATGGGTATTTACAACTTAGGGAGATAACCATTAACCACAAGTTATGGTAGGCTTTTGATCAGGAAACCGTGCTCGGGACGCAAGTTCATTTGGCTTTTCAAGTTTTACTTTTGTAAGAGAAGTTTTTGCCTTGTAAATTGTGGTGCCAAACCTCAAAATAGCTTGAATATTTTCATTTCTATCATACAAGTCATACAAGCTTCTACTGACAGATTAAATTTCTGTCTTCAACAAGCAAAGGTGGGAAAAAAATTGGGGAAAATGTTCTGTCACTGCTTAAGCTGAAGCCCCGACCGGCACCCCTGCCTTAAACCTGGATGATCCGTAAAGAGTTTCTTCGAATCGACTGATCTCGTCTTTAGATCCGTAAGCAACTTGGGTTCTGTCATCGAGATTCTCGATCACCTTGTCAAGCACAGATTGACGTCCATCGCTGCTGTAACCTCCTGCTTTCTCCACTAAGAATCCTAAAGGAGCTACCTCAAATAACAGCCTCAGCTTGGCTTTGGTTGAGGGAGATGTCACATTTGTGAAAATACCCTTCTCTTTCACAATAATCTGTGGATTTAAACAAAATCATATTTTCAGAATGCTCGCACAAAAAACAGTATCTCTACTTTTCAAACATTCCATCAAAAGAATTATGAGGAAGATAGATAAAAAGGGTCTAAAACCTGGTTGACATCGGGAACCATTCCGCCGGTGTATCTCAATGTGTATTTTTCCTTCACATAGTAGTTGATCAGCTGTTGAAATGGAACACATAAAGGTAGTAAGAGATGGTTGTACTTTGGTGAGATCTCTAAAAAGAATACTAATGTTCTTCTCAAATCTCAAGCCTTTTAGAAAAAGATAAAATGAAACCTTGTCATAATCAGGGTTATCAAATGTGGCTCTCAAATTTCCAGGAGAGAACAGTTTTCCTTCCCCAATCTCTGTGGTCTCTTTAACATGTTGCCATTTTCCTATCCAAACCACCAGTAAAGCAAAGAAGTCAGGGTCTGGATCAGGAACATTCCTTCCAATCTCTCAATTAAGAAAAAGCTTTGAATTTGGTTTAGTGGTCGAGAGTAACCTTCATCAAGAAGAAGAAACTCATGAGTGCCGGGGTAGTCTTTCAGAGCAAGAACATATGTCGTGCGAGGACCGTAAACTCCCATGGCCGCAGCAACTTGATCACTTCCCTTTATACCAGTCAACTTATCACCCGGCCACACTCCAAAGATGGTGCCTACACTGAAGTTTGTGTCGACAATACTTGATCCATCGAGCGGATCAAATGCAACACTGAACCCTCCTGCTTATGTTTTAATAAAATGTGTTAGTAATCAATGGATCACCATTGAATTGTTTTCTTATAACTTGAGAAGTGTGACCTTCAACAGGGCCTCCCATGTCCTGGAGCTCTGGCACTTCTTCGGAGCAAGCATATTTGCAGAAGTGTGAGTATGTCAAGGCCTATTCATCAAACACCAAAATAGACATAGCATCTTAAGTGCAAATCTTGAGAAGTGGATTCACATAAACTACAGCTGTTAAAATGATCTTGAAACCGAAATCAGAATCAAGAACTCTAATATGGAAATCTATGTTGATTGAACATTAATCTGCAACACTTCTTCCATAGTTAAAAAAAAGGTACCGTCCATGGATGCCAAGAAAGAAAAAGAAGTTTGAAAATAATAATTTTACTTTAAAAAATCGCCATTCGAGACTAATGGAAGGCTGACCTCAAACAGAAGCTTGTCGGCAAGCATATCGACAGCAAGCTGTTCATCTCCAAAGGAGTTGACACACGCAGTTCCTCCACAAGAAGCCGTTCTAACTTTGAAGGAAATGGTCCTTAAAGCTTCTCCCATACACATCATCAATCTGATCAATCCCTTATCTGAGGTTGCTTTGGTGAGAAACACTTCCTACAATCACAAACTCCTCAAATATTCAAACACAATATCACAAACAACTTGCAGGCATTACACAAACGCACTCACCAGACTATCACCAATTTCACATCTGGTTTTAAGGGGAGAACTCTTTGGCCTCGATACCACCTTTATTGATGACTTGGGAACTTGCCTTAATGACTCCCCAAATAGCGAGCTCGCTTTCAGACTCTATAATGCAATTTGATCACACACCCATCGTCAAACTCTAGCCATACATCTCCAAAATCTAAAGAGACAGAGAGAGAGATGGGTTTCGTTTGTACATACCCTGGTGGCGAAGGAAGGAGACATGAGGGCAGTAGAATGCTGAGAAGAAAGATTGGGGAGGAAAGCCCCGCGAGCGCAGCAAGCAATTCCAGTCTCCATAGCCGATGAAGTAAAGAAGAAGAGACCGAGATTCTCTCAAGCTGCTACTGTAAATTGGGCATGGAAAGGAAGAAATGGAGATGCAGAGTTGCAGAGAGGGGAGTGGATAAGCAGGTGATGGAGTTTTTGCCGCGTGGGTTGCGGTTACTTGAAAGGATGATGAAGTGGGTGAGGCTAATTTGGATCACTCGTTCGTATGTGGCTCTGCTGGTGTCCTGAAAACAGATATGGCCGCCACTAATCGGCTCAATTCGCTTTGAATTTTGCTCGTAGAGTTCAAATCTTTGGGTGTAAATTGTTACCGTTTGGGTTGCGATTAACTCGGGTGGCAGTGGCAGTGGCAGTGGCACTCCCATCTCTCACAGTCACAGTCACAGTCACGGCCGCGCCAAAATGTAGATTATTTACGGCTTTCGAGTGGTGAGATGAGGGCACAAATTTCTAAGACGCATGATCATGATTCATGGTATGTAACGGCATACACAAATTTGTAAGACAACCTTAAATTAAATGGCTACGTAATAATGTTGGATAAAATTTCTCAACATATTATTACATCTCAAGGAGTGAAATTTGAACTTCCACCGCCCATTGGGAATATTACTAATTTCTTCACTAATTAAATTATGATAACGTTGATCGTAAAAAATAGAATTTTTAATTAAAAGTAATATTGTAATGGAATACAACTATGAACCTATTTAATTGCTTTAGAATTAGCGAGTTAATATTGTGGGATAATATTCTAATTAAAATTGTAATACCAACTTAGCATAGGCCAAAAGATTCTCGTTCAAATTAATATCTTTAGGGCAACAAAAACTCTAATATACCAGATTATTTCACTGGAAAATAAGTTTTATTCGGTCATCTTTTATGCTTCTCAATCTAAATAATGCAACTAAACCAATGTTTTAATTATCGATGTTGATAGAAATATTGAGGTTTCAATTTCATGGAAATATGGATATCGATAAATATTTATGTAAAATATAGAGAATTAAAAAATCATAAAAATATTTAAATTAACAAATAAACATTTTTCTATTTATTAATTAGATAAAAATGATTAGTATTAATAATATGTCTATATTAGTTACATTTTGTTGATATTTTTTTTTCTGTAATACGATGGGAAATGTCGATTTAATCCAATGTCGAATCCATGTATATATAAGAATATCGACGGGGATGTAGAAACGATATTTAATATCAGGATCAAAACTTAACCAAATTCATGTTTTTCAAATCAAACCAATGTAACTTGCAACACCTCAAGTTATGAAGCGCGAACCAAACGAACCGGAAAACTGAATTGACCAAATCGATTGGTTTGGTTCGATCATTTGGATTCTCCGGTTCAGAAAATGGAAAACAGAACTCTCAGCCTTCACGCGCCGCGCCTCTCTCAATCCCGCGTCTTTCTTCTTCCTTCCAAATCGAAGGGAACCGAACCGGTACAAAGGAATCGCCGTCGCCGAGACCATTGGTTCAGGCTCAGTCGTCAATTTAGGCACGCGTGTAATTCAACCTGATGAAGAATTAGGCGAAAAAGAGGGCGTGGAGACTGGAGAGAAGGGTTTTAGCTCACTACGCATCCATGGAGATCGGAGCGAGTTGTAGGGTTTTGAAGCAGCCCCAATTTTTATGCGCGGCAAAGGGTTTTCAAAATCCTAGACAACTCCCAACTGCTCTCCGAAATGGTTCCCTCTACAAGCCGCCCAGAAGCTTCCTTTGCAAAGCCATTCTCAAAGACTTCCAAGTACCCATGGAAAAGGTTTTTCTTTTATGCTTGTTTGAATGCCGTTTCTTCAGAAATTTGGATTTCATCTCCAAACGAGAAGATGCTTGATTAACCATTACATTATTTTCTGTTTGGTTTGTGATTATTGTAACCCAGAAGAAGATCAACGTTGTACACGAGCTTTCGAGTTTGGTGGCTTTGTCTCCCTTGGATGGTCGTTATTGGGGTAAGGTCAGGGACTTGGCCCCCTATCTGAGCGAATATGGGTTGATCTTCTACAGGGTTCTGGTTGAGGTACTTCTTCAATTTAGTTGATTGGTTTCGTAAAATATGGCTTTTATTAATTTGGTGCTCTCCTTGCAGCGAGTAAGTTTTATTTCGATTATATTTGCTACTGTAACTGAACTACACATTGTGGGAGGAAGGTCTTTTTTCTATAACATGATCGATTGAAGGGCTTTTGTTTTTCCTACTGTCCATTAGATCAAATGGCTGTTGAAGCTTTCGCAAATTCCTGAAATCTTAGAGGTCCCAAGTTTCAGTGAAGATGCTTCTTCTTTCTTACAAGGACTAATTGACAATTTCTCTGAGGATGATGCCTTGGAGATTAAAAACATTGAGAAAGTGACGAATCACGATGTAAAAGCAGTTGAATATTTCTTGAAACAGAGGTGTCAACCGCATCCTGAGATTTCTAAGGTGGGATTTTCCTTACTATTTCTCGTTTGTTAGAAAGTTTATGTGTGTGTGTGTGTGTTTATGTTAGTGGAAAAATATAGGATATTCTAACCATTCTTGTTTGCTATTCAGGTGCTTGAATTTTTTCATTTCTCTTGCACATCCGAGGACATTAACAATCTTGCCCATGCACTCATGCTAAAGGAATCATTGGAAAATGTTATTCTTCCTTTCATGGACAAGCTGACAAATGCAATATGCAACATGGCCAAAGATAACGCTCACATTCCCATTCTTTGTCGCACCCATGGACAGGTATTATGCTGGCAAGATTTATGATGTATTCAGCTTCTTGACTGATTTAGACTCTAAACTGTTTCATGGTTTGGTGCTTGTGTCATTCTTGGTCTTGATTTTGATTGATTTATTATATGTTTTACTCTCATGAACGAAAATGCCTTATGCGACTTTTTTCATCTTGTAGCCAGCATCGCCTTCAACCTTGGGCAAGGAAATGGCAATTTTTGCAGTCAGACTAAGTAGAGAAAGGTTGGAAGTTGCCAAGGTCAAGATAATGGGGAAGTTTGCTGGTGCTGTTGGAAATTATAATGCACATCTTGTTGCATATCCAAATGTTAACTGGCCTAAAGTGGCTGAAGAGTTTGTAAACTCTTTGGGTTTGAGTTTCAATCCTTACGTAACTCAGGTCTGTCTTTGTATTAAGATTTGGTTTTCCTTCTGATGTGAAATTTTGGTTGGGCTCATTACGCCAGAGTTTGGGTATATATTCAACTATTTATTAGTTTTTCCTTTGATATTTCATTATTTACTTGTTTGAGTGGCCTAAGTTCCTAACTGTATAAATAAATTCCTTTTTCAGATTGAAACTCATGACTACATGGCGAAACTCTTCTTTACCATTGTGAGATACAACAATATCTTGATTGACTTTGACAGAGATATTTGGGGTTATATATCTTTGGGCTATTTTAAACAGGTGAATATTTTGATTTATCTCCTCATTATTATTTATAAAGAAAAGATAAATTATATGATTTTTATTATTTTGGGCAGATAACAAAGGCAGGTGAAATTGGTTCTTCGACAATGCCTCACAAAGTAAATCCTATTGATTTTGAAAATAGTGAAGGTAATCTGGGCGTGGCTAATGGATCATTGGCTCAATTAAGTGAGAAATTACCCATATCTCGGTGGCAGGTATGCCTTCATTTCGATATTTGATATTTCCTTGTATTCTTTGAGTTGGTAGGTGGAAATTGAAATGTGAGATGTGAAAATGTGAATTGTTACTGTAAGCTTTACGACCTTACTTGAATAGGATCTGTTCTATAGGTTGTACAACTGTTTCCTTGAGTTCTAACTTCTAAGGAAGGTAGGCGGTAGCCTTTACATAATCATACTTTCCAAAGTTTTGGGCTATGTGTTTCTAATACGACTATACTAAATAACACAAAACTGTATTTAATAATGCAAAAAGTGTATCCATTAATCTCTAAGGAACATCTTTCACTAACTCATCAAAATTTCATTTCATGTAGGTACTTCTATTATTGTATTTAACTTTGGTAGAGTTTAATGAGAGAACCTTTGTCTTGTCCCTTTTGCAGCGTGACTTGACTGATTCTACAGTTTTAAGGAACATGGGTGTTGGACTTGGTCATTCTCTTCTTGCCTACAAAAGCACACTTCAGGGGATTGGAAAGCTTCAGGTACTCAAATAATCACCATAATCATTATTAGTTTCTGAAAGATCAGAGTTTTGATAACATGCAGTCAGTGTCTTCCCCTTTCTTGGGTTATAATTCATGCCAGGTTTGTTGAAGCATAATGAGGAAAGAAAATTAGAGATAGAAACAGTGAGGAAGTGTGCAACATAACTAAGAGAGATTTAGTTGGACGTACAATGGAACTGTTCATTGGTTTAAGATAACCTATTATTTTCAACGATTGATTACACATCACGAATTAATCTTGAAGACTAAAATTAACTAATCATTAGATGATCTTGATCACATTTTGTGGGTTGTCAGTTTTCCAGTCTATTTGGAGTCATTTCTTTGAGTCGTTGGAATTATCCTTGGCTTGTAATAGGTATTGTTTGGCGATGATGGATGAGGTGTTGTTATTCCCTCCCTTTCAGAATAAGGGAAGATTTTGTGGCAGATGTGTTTTTGGGTATGAGAGAAACAGTTGAATCTTTAGGGATTGAGAGGTCCAACAGGATATTTGAGAGCTTATTCGATTTAATACCTCTAAGGTCTTTAAAAAAAAAGAAAAAAAACCTCTATGTGGGGTTTTTCAGTGAGATGTTATTCTTTTGGATTGAAGCTCCTTTCTACACGTGGGCTTCTTTTTGTTGGACTAGTTTTTTTGTATGCCATTGTTTACTATTTATTCTCGAAAGGTCCAGTTTGTTATAAATAAAAACAAAAAAGAATAATCCAAATGAAAGAATTTATTTGAAGATGTGCTTGAGAGGACCATATAAATATTGGCTACAAGAAAGCATAAATAATCTTTGACACCTTTATTCTGGATGATTTAGGAGCACATCTAACAAACTGATGCAATGTTACTGTTATCTTCTCTGCTTTTTAACTTTCATTTATTTTAAGGTTTTAAAACATAAAGTTTCTCCCCCTTGGTTCCTCTTGTCCCCATCTTCTATGTGGGGAATTCCTTGAATTTAGTTATTTTTGCATTGTAGGTTAACGAAACTTGTATCAATGACGATTTGGACCATTCATGGGAGGTCCTTGCCGAACCAATACAGACAGTATGTATCTTATTACGCGTTTCTCCTTAATTGCTCCATCTACCCTGTTAGTGTTATATAACTTCTCCTTGATTGCTGGTCATTTGCTTGGAGCCAGTTCTGGTCCCATTTAGTACCATTTTGTTTTGTTCATAAGCACCATAATATTGAGATCAGATACAATACTTTCCTGTCTTTATAATTCTAACTCGTCTGCTATCCATTTCTCGAAGGTCATGCGACGATACGGCGTCCCAGAGCCTTATGAGAAGCTAAAGGAACTAACCAGAGGAAAAACAGTGACTAAGGAAAACATAAGAAGATTCATTGAAGGCTTGGAAATACCTAAGGAAGCGAAGACAAATCTGTTGAATCTAACCCCTCATAGCTATGTTGGAGCAGCGGTTGAATTGGCCAGGGATGTGGACATGGCCGTGAATCTTGTGAACAGAGGAGAGCTCTTCTAAATTATTATAAGGGGGCACTGGTTCACAAGGTCACAGTTTTGCGATATTTTTCCAAATTTCATAATGTTACAAATGTTGAACATTTGAGTATACAACTCCATTCAAGCCCCACATCCCTATTTCAAACCTATATGCAAGACTATAGGTTATGTATGTGTAACTTAATAAATGCTTGAAGTTTGTGAGAGAAACTGTTTTGTGTATTTTGGAAAGGAAAATATTTGGTTCTGGGAGGATCAAATTATTTTGTGGATCGTACTCACCACCATTAAAAAATTGTCTCCGTGTTTACCTTTCTTTTTCTTAGTTGTCAAATATTTAAGAATGGTAACGACAAGATTGATCCTTATTTATTGAGAGTCAAATATTTTTTGAAAATGAAAAAAGATAGTGAGAGAAGATGCTGTAGAGAGAGATTAGTTAGAAAACGTATGCAATAGACCATTTGTGAAAGTATACTAGAGCCTAAAGTTTGGACAAACTAAGAAAATAATAAATCTTTTGTAGATAGCTTCAACTTCGCTATCTACTTGAATTGTATATATTATGCTCAACCTCTAAAACCAGTCAGATTAAATCAAAATTTTTTATTAGAAATAAAATATCATAGTCTGGTCAATCTTTTAAAACCTAAAAACTTTAATTCCTCTGCATTTTGACAAATTTTAAATTTGACTAGATGATTTAATGCAACATATAACCCTTCTCTGTTAGGACGTGTGTATTTGAGCCTAAGTTCGAACACTTTTAATGCAAATAGGTGCTGATATTCAATAAAAGAATGTTTCTCTTACGAAATGATAGGTACGATCCCATAATGACAAAGCTATGGTTTTCCTCGTATAAAAGGTGGAGTCATAAATTTTAAAAGGTACTCAATCTCTTGCATTCAAATTAAATTCGTCCAAACCTAATCTAACAAACATCTAGAATATTATTTTATAATCTATCTAATACTATTAAAAAGAAAAGAATCTTCAAAAGTTGTTTTTCTTTATAACATATTAGGAGGGAGATTTTAACTTGCCTTTTTTTTTTCGTCGAGTGAGTTGAATTTAAAACTGCTTTTTTAACATCAAAATAGAGTAAGTGGAAGGATGAATGTGAAATCTTAAATAGAACAAGAATGATTATCGCTGACACCAAATCTTGTGCCCCTCCTTGAACTTTTTTTAATCAATTCACATTAACAGAGATGAAAATGGCTATTCGTCTTGACCTGACTAATGAAAAGTTTGTAATTGATTACCAGCAGCATTAATGGGCTTTTTAAACCAAATAGCATCTAGAAAAACAATCTCTGTTTCGGAATTTATCATCTTTTTTTCAATTTCTCGTCCTGATTTTTCTCGATCTTCTTCGAATCTCCCAATGGCACCATCCCATCCCGCCCAAACAGTAGATAATTTCCCTTTCGCTTTCTTTTGGGCATCTCCGAGACAAAACCCAGAAAAAGAAAATCTCATCTCTTAGCCATCGATAGCTACCGAAGGACCCACCATAAAATTTTGTGTTCCAAATTGGTCACTGTGTATGCTTATGGAGCGAAATTATTGGTATGATGTTCGTATCCAATCAACTTTTGGTCTTACAATAGATGGGTTTTTATTGGGTTTCATTTTACAGATTGATCGAAGAGCTTTCTGCCATGGAGTAGGTATACAATCTAAAGCCTCGCCTCTACAATTTATTACTTCTGTGAAGAAACCCGAATTTCAGGGCTCTGCAAACTTTCTCTTTTTTCTAAGAAATCGCTCCTAAATCCCCCGATTCCTATTTGTTCTTTTGAAACTGATTTCTGACCAATGACTGGTAACCTGGATTTGAAGATATATCCTGGGGATTCTTTTTCTGAGATAGTGGTAGTTTTTGGAGTTTCTTTGAGCAATGTCTGCTTATGGGAGTGAAATGGAGCGCCGGTTCTCTATTCAGAGTCATTCTAGTGGAGGAAGCTCAGGAAGTTCAGGTGTGGAATTTGATACATCCTTTTCTTTCCCTTATGATCTCTTTTCATGAAGACGAGTCAATTTACTGAAAGAGATGTATGTTTGGTTTGTTTCACAGAAGCAACGAGAGAATGTTTGATTTCAGAAGTATTTTGTTGCCTTTACCAATTTGTTCAATCATCAATGTAGTTCTTTCCTTTAGTAAGCTTTTACAGACTGTTTTCTTCTTTTAATTCATAAGATAGATACAAGATACTACAATTGTCTGATGTAGACGACTCCTTTTCGGCTTAATAGTGTCCGAAAACAATTTTCCATAGACAAAAAAGGAGCAGAAAGCAATTATAAAGAACATAGAAAAGAATATGAATTGATTTGAAGACATGTAGAGAGAGGAGGATAACTTATCCTCCAAAAGAAGGGTCAAGGGAGATTACATAAAGCTTTAGAATTGGCATTAATGGAAAATAATTGATAATCACAAAGTATCTGGTAACTAATATTTTACTTTGTTTACTGAATACTACAGTATCTATTCAACAAAAAAGAGAATGAGAACACTTAATAAAAACATCTTTCCAAACAGCTTTTGAAGTAGAAAACAACTCCGAATATAATTTTTGAATAGTCATCAAAGTAGTCTTTACCTCTTATTATTAGTAGGCCTTAGTCCGAAAATGATTGGGACTAAATCTGATAGTAAATGCACCATACCCGTTGTCTTTGTGATTCTTGTGGTAGTCGTGATGGTTACTAGACTATTGACATTCTGCAATGTGATAGAAGAACTTTTACTGGTATTTAAGCTTCATTTGAAGCCAGAGTAGTTATTGTTATCCTTTTAATGAGGCAGATATGGGAAGCCGCTATATCGTAGAGTCGGGATTCTACATGACACCTTTAACAGCAACAATTTTCATTGGTGCTCTAGTTACTGTTGGAGTGTTACTTATCACTTTACTGGTCTCATTGACTGTAATGTTGCAATATTGTCAAAACAAAAGTGAAGGAGTTGTTGAGATTCAGAAACCAGGTGTTGGTTATGATTATTGCAAAGCCCTATCTGTGCATTTGGAGCTAAACAGCTTGGAAACAGATGGGATACCTTCATTTTGCAAGAATTTTGCCATTCAATACATTAAAACTGGTCAATATGAAAGAGATTTGGATTCTACACTGCAGGTGGTTGACAATTATTTCTGTGGTGCTGTGCAAGTAAACAATGGTCGAGATATCGTGTTGATGGACATAGATGACGTTCTTTTCGAAAACCCTGGTTACGACAACCTGCTAATACCCTGGTACTTTCCTGTTTACTCTCAAGCATTCTTTTTCTGTGTCCTATGTCATTATTCTTCATGATAACATCAGGTTATTTCATTTTTTTGTTAGCTCTATTTTCCTAACTTCATATATTCACGCACTTTCTGAAAACCCAATATCTTAGAACTCTGCCTATAACTATTATCAATGCATTATATTAGAACTTGATGCTGGTGAAGAGATTCTCTCGATCAATTTAATTGATTATGGCCATGGGTGAAGCAGTTGTGTCGATGAGGCCAAGATATTGAAGCAAAAATTCCTTCTACAATTATACAAGAAACTTAGATCTTGCGGGTGGCCTCTAATCTTAATATCGAGAAAGTCGGAAGTTCATAGGAATGCAACTATTGAGCGACTTACTTCTGCTGGGTGTAAGGGTTGGCTACTGTTGATTATGAGGTATCTTCAATATTTATATTTTATCAGCAGGCTTTACGCAGATAAAAGTTTACCCTTCTGTTAGGAATAGGATGTTTCGCTTTCCATTATTGATGTGCAATGACTTAAAAGATGTTCCTCACCTTTTCTCTGGCATTCCCATTGGAAAAGAAGAGAGATATTATGCAATATGTTCTATCATAGCATGCTGTTTCTCTGTGTGATAAAATGGGAGCCTAGCTTTTTTCTGCTTATGTGGATGTAAAATCTATGTTTCTTACGAAATTTGTCTATTCTCATCCTATTACAAATAAACATATTTAAGAACATCTTGTTAGAAAAATCTTGCAGAATGGATGATGAAGTGCAGATCGATCATCATGAATACTTCACTAAGCAGCAAGCAGCATTGTTGTATGAGGGATTCCGCATCGTAGGTGTGATGAGTAGCCACATGGATGCCTTATCAGGACCACCCATCGGAACCCGTATTTATAAGCTTCCAAACCCCATACACTTCAATATCAATTATCAAAATATGAGGAAGCAAACACAAATTTAGGGTAGTGATTTAAGTTGGTAAAGTTGTCATGTCAGCCATTTCAAGGTATTGCACAGTACAGTTGATATAGGATTCTCTATAGCTTGGTTGAGTTTCACCCGAGTCTTCTCTTATGTAAAGTCGAGCACCTACGGTCCTGCAGTTGATATGGAATATGGATTACCATGTCCATGCCAACCTATCGAGGGGATCACCAAATTTAGTACTTTTTCTGTTCATTTACCAGATTATCTTCAGCATTTAGATTGTCATATAAGACGAGGGGCATTGCAAATAAGGTTACATGTCTCCCCTACCTACGCCAACAGCCAGCAACAAACAGCATCTTCTTCAGAACCCTACAGCCAGCAGCAACTACACACAGGATTTGTTATATTTTCTCCTTTCCCTCTTTGGATATCCTCTTGTTCAGGATACCTTTATGTAAGAAATTTCCAACAAATTTTCTTTGATTTTGGCACTTTTCTTGTCACACAAATTATGCGACTATGGAGGGCACTTGTTCTTTAAAATTATTGTTTTGTTCATCAAAGAGAAACTCAATATATCAATGATGATGATCTTGACTTTCAAAGCTTCACTTATGAACTTCTTGTTCCCTTGTTTTTCAGTAGCGTAATGACCTGTTAATCCTTTAATCCCCATCTAGTGTTCCATTGTGTTAATTCATAAACCTATATTTAGGATCATAAATCTTGAAATGCATTTTGTGTGTTATCTGGGGGAGTTTAGGTAGGAAAATAATAATATGCATGACTCATAATCGAAATCAAATACTTAATAACTATATTAATCTCACCCAACTCACTAAAAACACCATATCGTAATTTCATATCCGAATGATTCTTCACTAACAAAAAATAAAGTGGGTCACAATCAATCTCTGGAAAATAAGAACCAAATTTCATTGCATATGCTACGTAAGATTCTGATTCATCTGAACACAAATTCAGAATACAAAATTTGCAGCCATTAACATCTAAGCAAACGAATGAACTGTCTCTGCTATCAATGGAAATTGCCATACCGAGAACCAGCCAAAGAAAGCTCAAAAATCAAGGACGATGCTTCACAAAATGCAGGTTAAACTCATGAGAACCTAAATGAGAAAATTACGAAAAGGCAATGTTTAAGATGTTACCATAACTTCGTTAGAACGAGAACCCCAAAATACCAGGCTGCAATCGCCAGAAAAGTTCTCTGCTCTCCGATTCCGGCGGACTTGGAGAATACCACATCATACTTCTTGGTCATATTGGGATACAGAAGCCCCCATTTTCGAACAGGTCGAGCTCCCTGTTCTTCTTCCCCATCAAACAACTGATATATGTAAGTTTCCATCACCCCTTCCCTCCTCAGCGGCGTTCCGAACCCCGATTTCAGGTGGGCAATCAGCCCCTTGAGGTACATTTCGGCGTAATCTTGATTTGCTTCGACTTCACCCGAGTCAGTCCCAAAACTCGGCCACCCAGTCTCCGTCACGATCACCGGAACGTCCTCGTGTCCGGCCACAGCCATCGCGCTAATCACCGCATCCACCATGGAATCGAAAAGATTCCGGTACCGGACGCCGGTTATTACGTCGTCTCTGAAATTGAAAGGGTGCTTCTGAAACAGGGCATACCCAATCGGAATTTCGGAGTTCAATCGGTACAAATTGTAAGGGTAGATGTTGATCAAGAACGACGAATTTGTGTCTCGAAGAAACTGAAGCAGAGGCCTCATTACAGTTTGGGAGACCGGTTCTTGAAACCTAGCCGCCGAGGGAGGGAAGGGAGTCGTCATAATGCTCACGAAAGAAAACGTAGTGGAAACAGAGATTTGGCGAATCCCTAAATTGCGAAGCGCTATGTAGACATTTCTGATTGCGGGCAAAAGAATGGCCGCGAATTCAGGGGAAGCTTCTAGAAAGTCGTTGCCGACGGAGATGGTGGTGATGATCGTCCGAGGGTAGAAGGGGACGACGTGGGCGTAGAGCCACCGGAGAGCGGCGGAGCGATTTGCGGCGATGGGGGCGACCAAGAAATTAGGGATTGTGAGGAGGAGGGTAACGTTGGTGTAGGCGAAGGCGCGGACTACGTTGGGGTCTGAATCTTCGAGTCTGACGGCGGCGAGTTGGAGGGAGTTTATGGCTTTCGCGACCGAGTCCGGTGGCTGTAGGTGGTGGCTGGTGTTGGCGGTGGCGGCGGAGAAGGTGGCGCCAATGGTGGTAAGGGAGTTGCTCCGGTGGGGGAGTGAGAGAAAGTAGAGAGAGAGGGAAATGGTGAGGAAGATTGACCGGAGAGGCATGGCTGAAGGTGGCCGGAGAGAGCTGGTTCGCCGGCGGTTGAGAAAGCAGTTATGGCTTTGGAATCTATATGGGGACTGTAACTGTGCAGTGCTTAAACTGTACTGCGCGCCACTTCGATTTGGCGGCAATTTCCGTTGCAACTTATGGGGCCCATGGTAATTTTCATGTGTGTGAATATGTACAAGATTAGAGACTTGAGTATTTTTCCTTTTTTTAGTAACAAATAATTTAAGGATACGGGAGATCGAACCTTTAACATCGAGGAAATGAATGTATGTAAATTACTGTTGAACCATGTTTACATTGACAATTGACAATTAGAGACTTGAGTATTGATTTAGGTTGAAATTTATTAAAATAGTTTTTTTTTAGTATTCATTTCATTTTGTTGAGATATTGTTTTGATTTTAATTCCTAAAAGTATATTTTTGTTTTTAGTTTGATCCCAAACCTGTGCGCTTGAGTATCACTTCTCGAGAGCCTTTCTTTTCCTGCCAGGTATGCTTTTCCGCTTATCGTGCAACTAGCCAAAGTGAAAAGACAGGATGTGTTCCGACGAAATGCTATTGATTTTAGGAGGACGACAGACGTTATAGAAGTGCATCATAAGTTTCTATAAAATGAAAGGTACATGGGTATGGGCGTACTTTAAGGGTGATTTTTACTTTGAAAACCATGAGCCCCATTTACAAAAGCCTAAGCTTAAAAAAATGTATATCTCTTAGTCCTTTAAAGTTTAGTAAAATTCTAAATTTAGTCATTTTCATTCAAATTTGAGTTGATAATTAAGAACCCGTAATGCTCCCGTTTCTTGTTTCTCATTTCTAATTTTATTAAGAAATTTGAGTAGAAATATTTCAAAATTGTATAGAAATTTTGGAAACAACGAATATTTCTTATTTCCATTTTCAATTTATTCCAACGTAAATAAAGATCTTGTTTTATCATTCTTGAATACATATGGATGTTCGAGCCATGAAATTCTATTTTTCTTTATTAAAAGAAAAGAAACAGAAACAAAAAATGAGAACGTTACCGTACGGACTTTAATATGACAACAATATGATCGATTTTATTGTTAATGAACTACTTGTAAATTTGAACATCTACTACATTACTTGTATATAATTTTAAAGATAAAGTTCAACTTAGACTTATTCAATAATTTTTTTTATTACCTAGGAGTTGGTGGCCTTTTGACCTTTATGCCTCTATACCTGGAAGGTATGCGTATTGTCCCCATATCCGTACATATCCAAGGAATCATCGTTTGGTAGAAGTTGCATCCAATGTGGTTTAAACCCAAGACCTCAATGTTATTTCTTGAGACCCTAAGCCACCCAAGTTATACCTTGGAGACAAACTTATTGAATAAACATCAACAGAACGAGAAAGGAGTATTGAGGGAAGAGACTGATGTTTCCTGAGAAGATGGGAGAAGAAATGAACTTTGTTGAGGAAAATGAACATATTTAAGGTAAAATCGATAATTTTAAAAGATAAAATTCAAAATTTCCTAAAACGTCAGGGTCTGTCTCTGTACATGAGTTGATATACAGACAAATTGGTAACAATGAAACATCAAACCCACAAGTGTTAGAGCAAAAACTTTTCCTCCCAAAGTATGCAATCTGTCATTAGATAATTCAGTTCCCAGTTGCATTTCTAGCTATAAGAAGCTAAGATTTAACCATCAGTGATGTTCAATCCACTTAAAGATGAAGCAACAGAAATCAAGTTTTGGTCATCCTTGTGCTTGTTCCAGGCTGCTTCAAACTGCAGGCCTTTGCTCCTGAAAACAACTCAAAATCAGAAAGTCAAGATTCAATCAAGACCAAGCAAACATAATATGAAAAAAGGGTGAAAAGTATCCCCATCCTCACTTCTGGAGCAAGACGAGCACGTCGACAACATTCTTTCTGATTGCATCACAAGAACTTCTCGATTCGGCTTTTTCATGTAACAGTGCAAGCTCATCCACCAATCTGGTATCAATAAACAACTATTAGAGTTCACTTAAGAAAAGGTTCAAAAGCAATAGATAGATGCAGCAGCGTCTAGTCCTCTCTCCTGTTATTGTTGCTGGCCTATATCCGCTTGTTTCAAGAGCCCACAATGAACACCTAGATGTCATGGTATAATAATAATGTACAATAACTGAATCCTGATCCTGACCGAACTCCGTTGTTGAACTTCATCAAACACAAGTAGAAAATTTAGGGAGGTTCTGAGTACTCCAATACCCTAACTGATGGATTTCCTATTTCAGAATTCAGATAGGGGGGTCCTGTACAATCTGAGTCTCTTCATTCTCTCCCATATTCTCATCTCTTTCTTGTGCTAACAAGTTTTCCTACTGAATTTCGGTCTCATGTGGCTGGGCAGGCTAGCCTAACCAACATATGCTCTATTCTCCTATCACGCACCTTATCCTTTTCTTTTCTTTTTTAATAATTACGAGTATGTCACTACTCCTATGGAACAAATGCTTAATCTTATAACATTTGGCATCGTAGGATCAATGATTTGAACTGGGATAGCTTAGATAAGCACTTGTAAAACGGGTGAAAGTATTGGAGGAAACCACAACAGAACCTTAGCGGAATTCAACTGTTGTCATATTTGTCCAAAGCAACCAACATAAAACTGCGTAGGAAAGAAATTAATTGTACAAGAAAATTTTAGATATCACCGAACTTGAGAAACGTGAAACATAAAACTTAAATAACCTTCCAACATATGGTGTATCCCTTATCCATGTTAGCCTTACAACTGTGTGTGTTCTCTGTAGAACCTGCGCAATGATAACAAGATAAGTATAACCAATAAATTCAGTTTATATACGCAAAATGGACTGAACTTATGCAAGTGTTAGGCAGAAAAAGACAATTTTTTTTTTAGATAAGAAACATTTTATAGACAGAAGGCACAGAGCCACAAAAAAAACAGCCTAAGGGCAGGGGGAAGAGGGCTCCCCCTCCCACGAACTAATGAAGAAAAGCTCTCCAATCTTGCAAAATCGATGAGAGGCTGTAATTACAAAAGAGTTTTCTATGCCTATAACACCACCAAGAAGTGTGTAACTTAGATAAGTCTCCAGGTGCGGGCACTGCGAAACTCTAGCCAACGTATGAAACCCCGATGGTCATCAGCCCAACTCCCAAGGGACTTAATCACATATATAAATTATGTTTACAAGTGGATGCCAACAAACATGCATTACATCTCAAAGCTCTCCCACTTTCAAGAAACGTCACTTAGGCAAGTTGTTATAATCACAGAATACCAAGTAAGAATATTACAAAAAAACTTTTCTTATAGGAATCAAACACAGATCCATGTCAAAACTCCAAACCTGTTTGATCAGAAAATTAGTTTTTCAATCAAGGTTTAATACTGTTTAGAGGCCATGAAGTGAACGCTTTCTCAAAAGAGAAAAAGTGAGTTCTCAACATTCATGATAAACATGGACGTTTCTTTGAATATTTACCATTTAAGGTAACGTTGACATGGATCCCAACAAACAACCTGTAAAAATAAAGAAAATAAAGAAAATAAAAGATAGAAGTAGAAATTGGACTTCTCTTTCCTACTCAAAGGAAAACATTTGCAAGAAATTTAAGGTCCCTGCCGTCACATTTCATGATCGCTTTTTACTTCTTAATTTTGGAACAACATGAAGTCATATAGGTTATAGAAAAGCTATCCTTTGATGATCGGACTGAAAAACTGCAAATCAGGAAGTCAACACATGAAAGTTAACTTTAAAATCCTCTGATATATTCTAAACAGGAACATTTTAATCCTAGTAGCAGTAGAAGAGTCTTAACATCTTAAGAATTTAGAGGGTAGATATAATACGTCTATTTTAAATGACGAATCATATATCTCTTACCAATATAATGGTCTCATCATCTTCAGCATTTATCCACTGGAAGAAAAGCGGAAATATGCTCCTTGTATGAGCCAACAGCACCAGACCCATACAGTTGAAAAGAGGTTCAATATGTTGAAGCCATGCAATACGGCGTTCCTTGTTTCTTGGCTGGCGCTCCAAGTGACCCAACATCTCATTTACCATCCTTTCAATCCTATACAMGAAGTATATAAATGAAAAAAATATTTGACAAGAAATGAGCAGTAGTTAAAATGACTAGGTCAGATGAGCATGAATTCTAGCAGTGTTGCATCTTATTACCAAATGTTGAAAAAGATTGAAAACATTACAACAAAATTGAAATTGGGCATAAATACATTATTTTTTTATATCAATCTAGAGAATACAATTCTTTAGTCAAATGCATTTAAAAGCACATGATCGGGCATGAAATGTTAGTACTCAAGGAAATTAATTTACCGCTCTCTATTATTCTAAAGAGAGTTAACAAGAAGAAGGTACTTTTGTCCATGCAGAAAATTAGTGAAGATTGGACGCAAAAGGTGACAAGAGAAAATCAAAAAGTGACCAAAAACACCCCTAGACCAGCAGCTTTTCCGAGGCACTCCAAGCATAGGTGGTTGTCCCCGCATCTTCGTCACTCACTAGTTGATAATAATAGAGGCAGAATTCACAGGTTTTTACACAAACAGAAAGCCTTAATGCACTGTCTTCCTATGTCCCTAAGTTAACAAAAAGTCAACTAGAAGTAGTAACCATGCCAAATAGAAATGTCAATTCTAATCCCTAGGGAAAGACATCACCTCCAACACCACCTTCAAGCCTCCGATGAAATACTTGCACCTCTACACAATTTTGCTTTGTACCACAGCAGCACATCGTAGGTAAAAATTTTATGAAAATACCACTGTACACAGAGCATGTAAATGGACCTTGTCTGTATTTGGTACACTGACATTCAAAATCTTAAACAACGATGATGGAACTAGTAAAAAAAAGTTTACCATGAGCTACGAGGATTCATTCTGTGGATGCTAGTTGCAAGAAGAACTGACATTTCAACAACATAAGGCCATATCTCATCACTTGAAGGAACATTTGAGCAGCACGCATCAAGAATCACGTCTTCGTACAAACCAAGGTCTGCAGTATTAACGTTTTTTGCAAGATGTATAAAGCTAATCATGCCCTGCCCCTGAAAGCAGGCAAAGAAATGGAAGCTTCACTTGTGAGAAACAACAGCAAACTACTAAATTAAGAGATAAGCTTCTTTTTCACGCAGCATAAATCTGAATTGGCAAGTATCAGAGATGGCAAAAGTGAAATCAGAATGCATACTTTCACTTCAGGTGACCAGTGGTCAAGAGCAGTCAGTGCACAAGGAATCACCAAATTACACAACTTCCCCAAATGAGGATAATCAATCTGCAAGAATTTCTCAGAACATCCCAAATCAACCCAAAACGCCAACAACACACACTGAACTGCAGTGATCCGAACAAGAACAGAGCCTCAAACCTGAATAATGAACCATCGAAGTTGATGAGCAGCAACAATAGCAAACCCCACAGGCACCCTCGCTGATGCAGCGGAGACCTCGTCAACCTCGTTAGATTTATCTATCGAGCTCTCCTTAATTCTTTCCTTCAACAAGGGCAGCACCTTAGGAATGATTTCCACCACCAATCTTTTCTCCTCAGGTATCAAACTAAAATCTAAACCTAGCTCCTCAATGTTCTTCGAAAACCCATCGCAGGAAGCAGAGGCATACGCCTTAGAGAGCGTTCGAAGCGCAGACTCGGCTGTAAGTGAGAGGTCTTCCGAAATCCATGAAAGAAGGTCGTATGTTGAGGAACGGGAAGACGATATTAAAGCACAAGCTAGTGCGAAATCTTTGATGGAGGAGTAAATATCGTCATCAGTAAGACTAGTTGGGAGTGCCACTTTTTGAGGTAGAAGAGATTCGATAATGGCTTTAACAGAGACATTGGATCCCTCTGACGGTTTATCGCAGATTTTCGAAAGAGATTCGATAATGGGTTCCGATAACCTAAAGTCACCGAAGATAAATTATATACAAGAAGTTCGACTGCAATGGAGAGAGCGGGTGCACAAGAGGGACTTACTGAATGCAGAGTTCACGAAGAACTTGGAGCGAGTTCGACATGCTTCCGACCCAATTGAAATCTGCTTCTCCTTTGATAATTGGTTTCAGTTAGCTTTCACAGCGAGCTAGCTCCACAGAAAGTCCTCGCCACCACGGGAGGTGATCGGAAAAAATGGTTGCGACCCCAATTTGTGAAGATGATCACAGAATTCAAGATGTGGAGACTTCAATGGGCGCCATATATAAGTTCCCTGACTTTCTTCTGGTTCCAGAGCGCATTTCCATTTCCAGAGGGGTGGTGTTCTGAACTGTGTTTTCATGCTTCAGCAGTTAGAGAAAAATGAAAAATTGATACTGAAATTGAAATTTTCGAAGCATCAAATTGATTGAACCAAGCTCAATTCATCAAAATTTGAAGAAATAAAATAAAAAAACCTAGGTTAAATATACGGTACCTAAACTTGTAACTTTTAATTTTGTCCTTAAATCTTTTTTAAATTCTTAACTTTACCTTTTAGTGTAAATATATTATAAAAGAATTTAACGACCATCAATTTTTCATTAGTAATCATATGCTGAGATGAGTTCAATTTTTGCCCTAAATTTCTCATTTTATCAAACTATACCTTAGACTTGGATTAAAAAAATAATAACGATGGAATTTGTTGCTTTTCCATTTTTTTTAATTGTTACATCACAAACTAAAATGAGAAAGGTGCAAATGTCTAAGTAATCGATTAATTTTTTTAGTACAATCTATTGGATCTGGATTTCAAATTCAACCATGATCAGAAATAGGTGTCAATTACCATTCAATTATTTTTACTTTGACAATTAATTAAGTTATTTAGAGTGAAAAGGTAGTTTGTTTTTCAAAGGGACATCATAGTACCATGGTTTAAAAAATATTTTTTTTACTAAAATTATGAATTGATTTTCATACGAAGCGAAAGTTCATATTTAAGTCCATCTTATAATAGAAACTACATGCCAACCTATAATTCACTAATCTAGGTATCTTGATTTTTTTTTTTCGAAATCGAAGGTTGAATCTCTCCTTCCGCATTTCTGGTAGTAAAACAATTTTTAGGAACAAGCTATTTCAACTGCATAATTATAATTATCGTTAAATAATTATGAAAAAATTGAGAGTTTAGTTGCAAAAAAGCATAATTTAGGCATTATAATGAACAAGACACACTGGTCCACCTCCACGCCAAGACAGGAGAAGACTGAAGGCTGAATCAGAAAACAAAGACAAGAGACAAAACGACACGTCGTTACTCTGCGGGATGGCGATGGTGGAGCTCCAGTACTGAAAAAGGTGGAGAAGAAAGAAAGTCGCACCGGGACCGGGACCGCGACGGAGTAAAGTTGAAGCAAGCAATGTGTGTCTTTCCGGCAAAGATATTTTTCTCGGATCCCTTTTTCACTTTATCTTTTCTTTTTCTTTCCCTTTTTTCTATAAAGAAAATCGACGCTGTGATGTGAATAATAATAGATCATAAATTATTTGTTTCTGCCTTTCGCTATCTTTCCTTTCATTATCTTCTTCTTCTCTGCTCCACTTGCCAGAACGAAGAACAATCGCTGCTTTTGGTTATTGCCTCGATTTTTAGGTACCCATCTTCAGTTTCGATTGCATGTGAACTCTGACCAAGATCTTGTTTCTTCAGCATTTTTGGTGTTTTGAAGTGTTTTGAGCTCACCGATTTGCTTTTCCCTGAGTTTCAGATCATTGACTGCAGCTTCTTTTTTCTTTTATTGCTTCTGAATTTGATTCTGGGTTTTTGTGTTTTTCTTGTGTTTGATGAAATGACAGTAGGAAAAGGGTGTTTGTTTGACCAAAGTAGCTTGGTGGGTTTGAATTGGAGGTGATTTTGGGTTGGTTGAGAATAGTCAGATCTACTCTTAAGGCTTAGCTATGTCGTTTATTGGCACCCAACAGAAGTGCAAAGCTTGTGAGAAGACTGTGTACCCTGTAGATCAGTTATCTGCTGATGGAGTTGCTTTCCACAAGTCATGTTTTAAATGTAGCCATTGCAAAGGGACTCTGAAGGTACATCCGTAGCTTCTCTTTTCGGTGATCCTTGAGAGTGGTCTTTGATTTTCTTGCCTCACTTGCACTTGATAGGAATAGAGAAAAGTGATGGATCTATATTCTAGGTAGTGTCTGAAAGAATGTTTCAAAACAATAATAATTAAGTCAATGTTTGGGTAACTGTTTGTTTGTTTTTTTTGTTTTTTTGTTTTTTTAAGTTTATTCCTATAGATGGTATGTTTTTCTGAACAACTAAAGTTGTTCTTTCTCCTCGTGAAATCTTAACTTTACGAGCCTTGAAAACAAAAACAGAAAACAACCTCCCAAACAAGTCCTTAGTTTCATTTATTATATCTCCCCTCTCGTAGCATATTTTAGAGAACTGTTTTCTGTCTCTCTGTCTCTCTTTTCTTTTGAGGATTTTCATGAACAGTTAGAGTAAGTACTGTGTGTGTGTCAATGTGTGGTGTTTAAAAGGTAAACAAATAAAAAAATAAACTCCAGTTTATATATACATGATTACCCAGCATTGTTTTGGGTCAGTGTCAAAACTACTACTCCAAAATGACTTATCAAATGTCAAATGTCTACAGCTCAGTAATTATTCTTCAATGGAAGGTGTTCTGTACTGCAAGCCTCACTTTGAGCAGCTCTTCAAGGAAACTGGCAACTTCAGCAAGAACTTTCTATCTCGTATGTACCAAACTTTACCGAATAAAGAAGACACTCTACATTTGATCTTGTAGCTATTGCTTTTTAGTGACCTTTATTTTTAATTTTATCTCACAGCTGCAAAATCGACAGATAAACCAACTCCAGAGCTGGTAAGTTTAACACCAATTCTACTGCAACTAGTTGTGATTAAATTTATAATCAGTTGCTCATTCCATTGCCTCTTGTTGGTTCCAGACTAGGTCACCAAGTAAAGCTGCTAGCATGTTCTCTGGGACTCAGGAAAAATGTGCTACATGTGGAAAAACTGCATATCCACTGGAGAAGGTTAGTTTGGAAGATGTTAATGTTAGAAATATATTCAAGCTTAAACATAAGCTTGGTCTCCCAACTTTTAGGATTGTGTCTAAAGGTCCTTAAACTTCAAAAAAAAAAAAAAAAGAAAAGAAAATCTAATAGATCTATAAACTTTTAATGTTGTATTTAATAAGTCTCTAAACTTTAAAATTGTCAATTGTCTGACAGGTCTCTAAATTTTTAATTTTATATATAATAGGTCTCTAATTTTATGTTTAATAAGTTTCTTAACTTTCAATTTTGGGTCTAATAGGTCCTTAACTCATGAGACATTTTTTAAGTTCAAGGAACTACTGAATACAAAATTGAAAGTTTGTGGATTTGCCAGATATTTTTTAAAGTTTAGGGGCCTATTAATGCAACATTGAAAATTTAGGGACCTATTAGACACGTTTTAAAATTCAAGTACTTATTGGACACAACCCTCTAAGTTCAAGGGTAACTTATAATTTAACCTATATTTGAACATTTAAAACCTCCTTTGCATCAACCATTAGCTGCCTTCTTTTTGTTAGGGTTTTGAAGTTATTTTGTATATTATCGTTTTCAATCTTTACATATGAATCTCTAAAAGAAAAGGTACATTCCTCAAAGCTACTCCATTGAAATGAGTTGGTATTCTGAACAGTTTGAATGTAGGCTTTGAGGAACTGTGGAAGTTACATATCCTCAATAGCTTAATCTAGTCTTTACTGCTCAGGTAGAAATCATCTCAATTTTCAAGCAGGTCTGCTGGTGTTGGTTTTATAATGCATCTGTGCAGATATTTTATCGGTAATGGATCTCGGGAATTTCTTGTATGCAGGTGACAGTCGAGAGTCAGGCCTATCACAAGTCGTGTTTTAAATGCTCGCACGGCGGCTGTTCTTTATCTCCATCAAACTATGCTGCACTTGATGGAATTTTGTACTGCAAACACCACTTTTCGCAACTTTTCAAGGAAAAAGGAAGCTACAACCACTTGATCAAGTCTGCATCCATGAAGCGTCAAGCAGCAACCTCAGTTCCCGATGCTGAAAATGTCGAGTTATGAACTTTTAATTTGAGGTTTGATTCCATTGTTCCACTGCCTTTTGCCCCTCCTTCCCCAGTGTGTTCTACTTTGATCCTCGCAGTCTCATGATGGGAACGAAAGAGAGCTTGGACGAGCTTCCTGCATCATGCTGAGCAAATTGTTTGTTTCTTTGTTGGTTCATAGAACTTCAAACAGACCATTTGAAAATGGGCAATTTGTTTGCCTAAAGTTTAAGAAAACATTTTGAAACTTTTGGTTTTGGCTTATCACAAAGATATGGAGTCATTCTGTTTTCTGTTAAGTTCTCAGCTTCTATGTCCACAAGTGGTTTAGAAAAAGGGCATCATTGGAAATGACATGGATCATAGGGTCATAGCTATCTTAGATGTTTTTTGGGCGTGAAAATATTGGAAGAGAACAATGGTAAAAGGCAATTTTTTATTTTCTATAAGGAAATTTCATCACGAAAATTCAAATCTACAACCACTTAAAAAAGGTGGAGATATTCTAATCACTAATCTATACTAAAGTTGGTACGAGGGTAATAAAATTTATTATGCCATCAAATCACTTATATACATAGTGATAAAGACGTGATAAGTTTTCTAGTTTAGGGTTTGAGCCTCTAAGTAAAATGATTAGGACTTGGTATATTTTTTAACTTTTATCTTTTTTCGAAAAACTATTTTTGTCCACAATTTCAATATTGAAGATCTAAACAAAGAAAAGATACAAAGGGATATCATAATTCTTGCAAATTGGTATTGGGATTAGTAGTCTTTAAAGATTTATTTATCTCTATAATTTGTCCCAAGAAGGGAAAAGGGCCAAACGACGTCGTAGCTGATCTGGCGGGAATTCCAGGCCCACTCCCGCCCAAGGGGGGTCTCTCCGTTTTGCGTTATATTCTCAGAACTCAGGATCCCCATTCCGTTCAGAGAAACCCCAAAACCGCCATTTTCGTCCATACGCACAACTGCAAGAAAAATGCTAGAGCTTCGTCTAGTTCAAGGTAGCCTCCTGAAGAAGGTTCTTGAAGCCATGAAGGACCTCGTCAACGACGCCAACTTCGATTGCTCCGCTACTGGTTTCTCCCTCCAGGCTATGGATTCCAGTCACGTCGCCTTGGTCTCTCTCCTCCTCCGCTCCGACGGTTTCGAGCATTATCGCTGCGATCGCAATATCTCCATTGGGATGAACCTTGGCAACATGGCGAAGATGCTCAGGTGCGCTGGCAACGACGACATTGTTACGCTTAAGGCCGATGACGGTAGCGATTGCATCACGTTCATGTTCGAAAACCCTTGTGAGTGAACTCTCTCTGTTTTCTTGAAGCTTCGATGGTTTCGGATTCTTGAAGTTAGTTTTGAGTGAACTCAATAGAAGTTAGTAGTTTCAGATATTCAAAAATGAAAGCTCTAACTGATTCTTGTTCCTTTTGGACGTGTAGCTCAAGATAAGATAGCTGATTTTGAGATGAAGCTGATGGACATTGATAGCGAGCATCTCGGAATCCCCGACGCCGACTACCAGTCCATTGTTAGAATGCCGGCAGCTGAGTTTGCGAGGATTTGCAAGGATCTTAGTTCCATTGGCGATACTGGTAATCTTTCTGAATCAACTCGTTTGTGATCCTTTCATTTCTTTTTAGAAGAATTCTAATTGCAGAGTTAATGACTAGCAACCTATTCGCTTCAGTTCTGATTTCTGTGTCCAAGGAAGGCGTTCAGTTCTCAACTAGAGGCGATATAGGCATCGCTAATATCGTTTGCAGGCGAAATACCACGGTTGATAAGGTTATTTCCTCAAGCATACTAACATAATCAATTCATAACGATGGATTCTGGCAATGTTATGGACTCTGTCTCTGTTATAATAAGAATATAGGACAATGGTTAATCAATGTCGAACAATTGTTTTGATGGCTTCTTTCTGAATTCAAATTTTACAGCCTGAAGAAGCCGTCGTAATAGAAATGGAAGAACCAGTTAGCTTAACCTTTGCCCTGAGGTACCTCAACTCCTTTACAAAGGCAACCCCTCTAGCAAGCCAGGTGACTATTAGCCTGTCTTCAGATCTGCCCGTAGTGATTGAATACAGAATTGAAGATATGGGTTATATAAGATACTACTTGGCTCCTAAGATCGAAGAAGAGGATGAAGCTGCAGCTGCAGCTGCAGCAATTAGCAGACCTGAGGCTGGGCCCAAGCATACAGCAGAGGCAGCAAAACGTAAAGCAGAATCGAAGCCAAAATTCGAGCCTCAATCTGAATCAGAGATGAAGAATGAGGAGGACAAGGGGTCTGTAATTGAAATCAAGGATGAAGAAAACAAGTCTGTAGTTGTAATAAAGGATGAAGAAGACAAGAACTCTTCAGTCCTGAGCAAGGCCGAAGAGGAAACCAATACTCCCAAGGAACCGAAGATTGAAACAATGGAACTTGAGTGAAGTCTGAAATGAGAAATCTATCAGTCAGTAAGTAGGAAATGTTAGCCACTTTTTTTGTAACTCCTGTTGGTTAGGTTAGCAGAGATGACAAGGAGTGATTTTTGTGACATACATGCAAGAATTCATGGCTGTATGTTTCTTTAGGATGAATTCTGTGTAATTGGATTCTGTTGTAAGAATCTGTACTCAACTGACATTTTTGGAAGTCCGGATTTGATTGCATTCCATCCAAATCCTGACCTTGGAAGGAGAAATGACAAGTAAATGTGTTTCTGTATTCTCTTCCAAACAAGCAAAATTACTCTCCAACAAAGCTCTGAGTAACTTGAAATTAACAAAATAATGTATCGAAATGGTAAAAGATAACGTTGTTTTCCCCCTTCATTGATCGAGGAGTGACAATAACAGGCAACTGTTATGTAATAAACAATTCTATTAATCCTTTCTAAGGAAGTAAAACTTTACCCCATAATTCTTCCTTATTAAAATTTCTATTTTGTGACAGATCTTGTAAGGATGATACAAATATAAACCAATGCCTAAGCTAACAATCTTTTAGGGGGGAAAAAGAATTTGGAGGCCATTGTCAAAATAGCAGTTATAACAGGCCGATCCACACCCGCTGCCTCCGGTATTGACGACTACTGCCACCGTGCAAAGAACAAAAGTAGGAAAATGCACTTCAGTTGCATTGTTCTCATTTGCTTCTTTTCTTGGATTCACTATAGAGGATAACTCCGATAACTGTAAGCGCGTAACCAAGCATTCCAGTAACTGATACCGGATTTCTGAAGATTAAAATCGAAATCACCACAGCAACAGCACCCTTTGCATTTCCAAGAACCTGAAAGAAATGATTGCTCGTGAGTTATCCAACAATCTCAAATTCAAGTTTTGAGAGAGAACAGTGCTTGGTTCCAAGCCACAGATACAAAAAAGAAAAGTCCCTTTATTAAACACAACCAGATGCAGGATTTCTTTTTCTTTTTCCATGTGTCGGGCCAGCTTGCGCGCATGGTTGACAAGAAAACTCGTAGGATATTAAATTCTAGATAGGTGGCCACCATGGTTTGAACCCAGCTATTTATATTTACATTAGCCCTCATTGACCACTTAGGCCATCCCAGGAGAAGTGCAATAAGGTCATCAAAACTCAAAACTTTAGTACAACATCAAAGTCCAACAAATCCTTAAATAGTAATACCCAATGGTTCGTGCTAATTGTCCCAACCGTTCGAAAATAGAAATTCATCAGGGAGCTTCTAAATAAAAGAGAACTAAGTATAGAAAGTAAACATGGATCATAACTCTCTCAGGGTGTGATCGTTGAAATGGAAGCTGGGGACTTAAAGAAAACAGAAAACATTACTTGGAAGAAGAAGAATGTATGAGATGAACATAAGCATCAATAAAGAAAGTAGGCATACCTGGAGTGTCAATGCACTGGTGTGTTTGGTAACCAAAAAATTGGTCAGGTTTACAAAATATGCGAGTGAAGAGTTGAATAGCAGATACCAGATGATCTTTTTATCATCTCGAGCAAGAGCCAGAGTGATGCCAACCACGTTTTCTTCCATGAAAAGTGCTGCAGGAAGCAGAAAGACGACAGCTATAGGAGCCATGTATAGAAGGAGATTCATGGAATTCAGCTTCTCTCTGTGAAAGATAAATGTCTGAGCACTCGTATAGTTTTTAAACCAGTTCAAAAGAAATTACTCATTATCCTCCCAATGATGAAGAAAACGACAAGCTCCTTACCCTTCAGATGAAAGCAAAATTCCTTGCAGTACTGATTTGAGAGCCCTTGCAGCAGTAGCAGCAACACATATTATAAATCCAAACAGATGGAAACTCGGTTCACCCTGAAGTTTATCGCCACAACAAAGAATCAGTAACACAAAGATGGAAAGTAGCGCCACAACAGGTGTTAGTTAAGAAATGGACCAATGCTCTTTCCAAAGGAAACAATCATTCAAGCAGGAATAGAACCAGAACCAACTTTATCTACTTTTATTTTCGTCACCCTCCCCATCCCCTCAACACCGAAAAAGAAAGAAAGAAATCAAGAAATATAAGCGAAAGGTCTTAGCAATTGTAAACTAGAGTGTGATAATTTCTTCCCAAGTTTTCATGGAATGTTTGAGAGCCGTCCAGTCAACCAATAGCGATGGGTTTGCCTTCCTCAGTCATATACAAGTTTAAAAATATCTACAAATTACACATTTTGGTATTCTAAAAGACAGTTTTCTACATTTGCTTTCAAATCTGCTTTCAGAAAATACGAACAGCTTTCAGGTAACTTGGAATTGTGAAAGTTAATGTATTCTTAAGATCACTATTCACAAGTTGCTGAGTTTAAGAAGAAAATTGACTTCATATATTCTCAAACAAAGCATTAGTGAAAATAAGCAAAAAGAAAATGCTTGTTGCAGGATTTTCATTCCAAAGAGCATCAAGTTACTATTCATTCTGAATACTCCCAAACAACCCCTAAAAGAATCTACAATGCCCCAAACCATATTGGCCATCTACACGGAAATAGCTTGAATTTTCCGACCCTAGATCAGCCACTTACATAAGCTAGTTATGTTCAATCGTGTAAAAAAGAAAACTAAAACTAAAAATGAAAAAATTCACAGAAAATCTTGTTCAAACAATTAGCAAATAATTATAGGTGCATTTTCCTCTGAATAAGCGAGCAATTACAAAAGCTAAAATTCAGGCAAATCGCTCTCAAAGATCACAGAAATTCGAATAGAAAAAAGTTGAAGGTTCTTCTTCTTACCCCACTAGCAATAATGACCCCGGTAACAACAGGAACGAGAGTAACATAAGTGAGCCAAGCTTCCCTCTTCATCGTCATAAGGTAAGCAAAAACCGCCGTAAAGAATGGCGTCGTGGCGCCGACCGCCTGGTTGAAGGAGACCGGCAAATACCTAAGAGAAATGTTGCCAAAGACAACGGAAATACAGAACACAAAGCTGAGCGCCGAAATCTTCAGAAATTGGATCCGAGATCGAATCGTCTGCATCGGAACCATCTTCAACCAAGCAATTGCAACGTAGCTAAACAAAGAACAAGCAGTCATGTGACACATGGTCAAGAAGATCGGGTACTTGAACCCGTAGTTGCTCAGCAGATACTTGTTCAGCAACAGGACGCCAATGTTGGACGAGTACCAGGAAGCCACAAGCCCGATCGTGAAAAAACGACTCGAACCCTTCATTTCCACTGTCGGTCTCGTCTCGATCGAGGGCGGCGATTCTCTTAACGCGTCGGTTCAGCTGCGATTAGGGATACACTAGAACATGGATCTGCAAGTCTCCGGAGAAGGAGAGATCTCAAAATCTACAAAACTGGAGCAAGAAATAGACACATTACAGAGGAAGAAAGGTCCAGTTTCCATGGATCTGCGAACAGAACTCCATGGGGCAAGTGGGAGGCGAAATCCAAAGCAGTGGAGAGAGTTGAAACTTGAAACAGAGACGAAAACGTGAAATTGGAGAAATGGGTCTCTGTCAAATGGGAAGAGAATCGAGTTTTGAGGATGATCGACGACAAATTGGTTCTGCAAATTATAAAAGCTGAAGAGAGAGAGAGAGATGAAGAAGAGAGATTTGAAGCAGAGGAGGAGGTAAACGCATACGGAGGAGCGATTCGTTCCACTTTCATATATGTTAATTATTTTATCTTCCCAAATATTTATTTATTTATTTTTCTTTATTAAATCTTAATTTACGAAAAGGAAAATACTTTGTTATTTTTGTTATTTCGATTTATTTTATTTTCCACTTGTTGACGTGACGTGACGATGAAATTTCAATTGTCGGCGCGGCGGCGATTACAATGAGCAGCGGAGACTTCCTCCTACCGGCGCCGGCGTCCATTGCTTTTCAAATTTATTTAATAATGAAAAGGGAAAACTTCCATTTTAATTTAAAAATATAGATGACAAAACGAGCATATTAATTTTGAATTTTTTTAAATATAAAGAAATATGTATGGCCGTAAAAGAAAATTTTCCTCTTATATTAATTTTGATTTTGGTCTAGTGGGTTAATTTTTGTTTTTTTATTTATTTTTAGGTAGAGTTTTCCATGTAAAAATAAGAAAAGAGATTTGGAATAATAATAATATAATAAATAAATAATTACACACTTAGCGCCTAAATAAGTGCCCATGTACTATGATTTTGAAACAATGATTTCAAAAATACGTGTTTTGGTGCATAGGAGCTAAAGTTGATGCGTAGGTGGTGCATCGACGTCTGAGCTTATATCTTCAAAGGCTACGAGTAAAGGTCTTCTTAAGAGAGAATCTTTTTTTAATAATTTGTAGATTCTAACTTAGTTTTATGTTAATTTTTTTAGTTGTTGAGTTAACATTTTAAACCAAATACTTGTAGTTGAATCAGACTCCCCGTTAGTCATATGTCACATCGGTGAGATAGAAAAGAAAAATATTTAATTTTTTTTGTATGGAATTCATTCATCTCATGCTTAATGCTTTTTGATAGGTTTAAAATGTTATAGAGATGTATGAATTTTCCTAACAAACTATTTCCTAACATTTAAGAAAAATTAGTAATAAAATTGCAGAGAATTAGCTATTAACATGGGAAACAAACCAAGTTAATTAAAGTAAATAAATTCAAAGAGGGATTAGTCCCTAGACTTTTCTTCATTTGTTTTAATATAATTCCTTCGAGTTATTAGAAATCCTTGTGGAGACGATATTTTATCGCGTCTATGTGGTATCATAAACAACATTAATTTTATATTTATTAATAGTGTTACTGTTTTGATGGTTTTTACTTTATTTTATAAATGTTAAATATATTTTTAGAAAATTTAGTGAAAAAATAAAAATGAAAAGAATTTTAAAAAGTTATTAAATTATGTGTTAAGAAGTAGGTTTTTTTCCCTCGTAGTACCGTTAAAAAGTAGATTAGTGTTAGCAAGCATCAAAATAGGACATTGGTATTTCGAGGATAGTGAGAAACAGGACGGAGGAGCTTAGAGATGCTTGCGAAGTTCACATTCCACCACCCCGTTTACCGATCCGTGATGTTAGGGATACGGGCAATCCCTAACATTAGTGTAGCATTTTTTACAATTTTGATGATTTTTTTTTATAATTTTCTATTTTGTTAGAATGGTTTCATTTCTAAATCCTTACTATAATGACGTCTATTATTTATTCGATTTCATAATTTTAAGAAACACAATATTACAACTTTCATTTGATTCTACAAGTTTTTTGTTTTAAGTCAATGCGAACATACCCCTATGTATTCTTTATTTTGGGTTGGAGATTCAATTTTTTACTGTATTACATTAAAAAATTGTAATCTCTTTTAATCTTTTCTATTCTTATTTTTCATGAAGTAAATAGGAGTTAAAAAAAGAAAATATTAAAAAATATTTAATCATTTAATAATAAATATATAAAGTAAACGTGTAAAAGTGGGAGGTGAGCCACCGGAGGAGAAATTCAACGCGGCAGGAAACTGAGGAGTCCAAACCAAACGCGCCTAATTTTATTTTCTTTTTAATACTATTAATAATTATAAAAAAAAAATCTCCAAATGAGAAAAAAGTTGAAATGGAATTATCGGGAGGAGTGGGGCCCACGTCCTACGCGGACACGTCAGCTTGGTGTCGGTTGCCGGCTGATTCCACCGGAATTGGAATTCAAGGTCAAGGCTTTGTTTGGTAATTCACTTTAATTTCTGTTGTGGAGTTATGGGTGAGCTTTTGTAGACGAGCATAAGTCTCATATCACAAAACAAATTCAATTAATTGTTAATAGGAAAATAAAAGGATAATTTTAGGGGGTGGCTATTGAAATATCTGATAAGTCCGCTCAGGACAAAAAGGTTCATGAGCCACAAAATTGTTCAAAAAGAATTGGAACCTAAAGATAGGCTTTTAGAAACAAGCAAACATGTAGATCACAATTCGAACAATGAAAGTGAAGACAACGAAAACCGTGAAAGGGCGTCGACTGTGAAGAGATACAAGTGCCAAGATGCTCGACTATCCAATCTCTCAAGTCCAGTCGTTCAAAATAAGAAGATATCATAGGGAGAGAAGGATTTCCTCTATAAATAGGGGAAAATGCTTCGCAAGATGTAATTTGATGGTGAGCTTTTGGACCGGGAAAAAAGGGACCATTCCTTTAAGATGGTAACCTCCCAACTCAATCAACAAATTTCATTTACTTATATAAATGTCAACATATTGAAACATCCCCGGTATGTTCTAATTCAATACTAAGTTTAGATTGTCAACCCCAAATCATAAAGGACAAACTTGAATGAGAAGAAATAATCGCCCATTACCATGATTCAAAAAGAAGTCCAAGTAGCAAGAAATTGGTGATGCTGAGATTAAGGAACCAGTTATTTGAAATTGAAGGTCTCCCATCCATAGAGATGCCTTATTTTGCATATAAATTAAGATGAAAGGAAACAAGTATGATGCGGTTCACGTATTGTTTTTATTAAATTTGAATTCAGCCTAACTATAATCACTCACATTGGTTTCAATTTGAATATCTTTTTTCAAAATTATTTGGTCAAATTCCTCTTTTTTTTTTCTCTTCCTCATCTTATTCACAATTTTGCGTATTAGACTAATTCAAAGGAGGACATGTGATCCACTCTTTATAGGCCCAACTTTGATCGTTGCATTAATTTCTTTTCTTTAATCGATGAGTGAGAGATGCATTCCTCTTTTTAAGTTGTCTATTATGTTTTTATGCTCGAGATATCCTGATTAGATGACCACTAATAGAACGAGAGTCGAGGACTTTTTCTACAAAGAGGAGGGTGATTGTAACTCCTAGACCAAAATAATAAAAATAAAGGCTAATTGAGAATACATTCAAATCACTAATTCATTAAACTCCAACGAATTTATTAGAATTAATTTTACTTTGTTTTCAAAATAACTCTAAATCAAAAAGCATTATCTTAGACCCTTTACTTTGAGAAGGATTCATTGAATTACTTAGATCTAAAAGAATGTCACTCTTTAAAGCGATCTCCCCGAACTAAACCGCACCTACATATAATAGTAAAAAAAATGTCTTTAAGGATCTTTCTCCACTTGCTCCATCCCCCTGTTCTCATGTGGATGCTCCAGTTTTTTATCCTTGAACCGAGGAGGAAAAAGATTGTGATTGAGTTTAGAAAAAATGGCAGAACCCAACCAACCCTTTCCTGCTTGCCTTCAGACCCAACCATTCCAACTAAAAAATATAAAGGATTGGAAACCTCATTCGGATTCAACCCAAGGAATGGTTCAAAGCTTGCCCTCACCCAATAACCTGAAGACCCAACTAAAAAACATACGGGCTGCATCAGGTTGGACACTTCAATGGAAAACCGATCAACCCAAATTTTCGAATTGGTTCAAAAAATTTCCAAAAAACGACCCAACCATATAATCATTTGTGCTCCTCATGTTAGCCTCTAATTTGCCAGGTAAATGCACAAAATCTCCATGTTGGTCAACAAACATGAAGCTTTATACTTCATAGTATTGAAATCAAAAGCAATAACGAGTTTGTAACATAGAGAACAAATTTGGAGGCTTGATAGTTCAAGAATGCTCAGTATGTGAGGAGACTTATGGAAGCCACAAGTTACAAATCATGAGTCAGCAACCAACCCAAATAATCTTTGAGACACCCGCTGTAAACTAATCAACCAATATAGAAAACCTAGATGACGCAAGTACGTAGGATTTAATACGAGAAAACCACTTGATAAAGAACTGCAACTGCATCGCTTAACACATGAAAATGCTCAAGACAAATGGTTGTAAAATGCTGTTCAACTACTTGAGAGTGAAACATCCACTAAACGCCAAAAATTACTCAGTTCGAAAAATAGTAACTGCTTCTATCTTAGCTCACAAAATATAATAAAAATAAAAATCCCTTCCAGTAGTTTCATCTAGGTTCTCCATCGCTGCAAAAACACATTAAGCACGTATTAGGAAATAACAAATAAACAGATGCTCAGCACCATTAAACAAGAAATTGGAAAATATAAAACTAGCTTTTCCCGGTATGGTTTACAGGTGAGATACAGTGAACGCTAAACTTCAACACCATTCAATTCACTTTACGCATATGTACATATGAAAAAAAACAAATATAATTCAGAAAAGAGCCATGAAAACAGGCAGAAAATGCTTCAGAAGAGAAAATGATAGAATGAAAATTCAAACCTCATGCATGATGCTCATATCAATTAATTACCGATCAGGATAACACAAGGCAGGCATTATTTCCACTATTTTCAATTCGCCCACATAATCTTGAAGCAAAAGCAGACAATTAATTAAATCTAACATTATCATTATACAACAAAAAAAACAAGGAATCGGAGGTGTATTTAGCCCCTAATTTAAGCCAGGTCTAATAAATAAGTAGATCTTTCGACAAACAGGGGCAACTACAACAAAAATAATTAAATAAAGT